TACCACGTGCCAAAGCRTCTTTCTTTAAAATTTGTGAAAAACTCAAAACAACCAAATGTATAGGAAGAATAAAATGGTTAAATGAATTGTATCTTGGTGGACATACTGGCATATGCCTGTAATCCCAGTGACTCAAGAGGCTGAGACAGGAGGATCACAAGTTTGAGGCCAGTCCCACAATTTAGGGAGGCCCTAAAGAGCTTACCTGTCTCAAAATAAGAAATATAAAGGGCTAGGTGTGCATCTCAGTAGTCCAGCATACACAGGTTCAACTTCCAGTACCAAAAAATAAAATAAAAATAAAAAAGTTGCATCTTAACTGTATGCAAAGTATTATGCATTCATTAAGAATGAAAGAGTTTAATGACAAAGAGAAATTCATAACTTCATAAAAAAAAGCAATATGAATTTTTTAAAAAGAAATATGTAAGATATTAACTACACGATTTAAAACTATATAGAGAAAAATGAAACTAATGGTGGTTAGATAAGAACAATTTTTTAAAGCTCTTCATCTTTCTCATGCACTACTATGTTTATAAGTTGCACAAGATGAGCATCAAAAGCAGTATTACTTTGAAAGTCAAAAAATTAAAAAAAACTAATAGGAAAGAAAATAAAAAGTAAATATCAGTATTTACACTTACTATGTGCRAGGATAACTAAGGGTTATATGATTATCTGTCTAGTTTCTACATGATGGAATGTAGTTATGTTTAACTTATAACTTCAAAACCCATAGTTTTTACGAGGTAATCTATGCTAGACTTCACTCTCCAGTAAGACATGATTCTGTTATTACTCTTTTACATTTATGTAAGTCCAGAAGGGTCCCCACATCCATGGGTTTCACTCCTGCAGATTCAACTGGTCTTAGACTGAAAATATATATTTTTAAATGATCTATATTGAATATGTCCACATATTTTCCTAGTCACTATCCCCTAAACAATGCAATATAACAACTGTTTATGTAGAATTTGTAATACATTAGAAATTTAATGTAATTTAGAGATTTGATTTAAAGTACMCTGGAGGATGTGTATATATTATATACAAATATTATTCCATTTTATACAAGGGAAATGAGCATCCTTGAATTTGGGTATTTGAGTGCCCCATAACAAATCTCATAGATATCAAGGGACAAGTGAGTGGCTTACAGATTGCAAAATTCTTCATTGGTATTATTTCACTACAAAGTAATTCATTACCATTATTTCATTCACYTCTCACAGCACCTGTGTGAGGTAGATATTGTTACCTACCATGTTACACTTGTAAAACCTGAGTCTCAGAGGTTAAGTGAGGTTGTCCAAGTTATGTGAGAAATTCATAACTGAACAGTTTTGTACCCAGTTCTTGTGTGACCCAACACTATACTCTATCAGCTTCTAAGGGATCTTTATAATGATTCTCATCAGGAACAATAAGCCCTGTGCCATTGCAAACATGATCTAAATCCCTTAAGCATTAAATAACTTACTAAAAGAGTGACTTTGATTTGCTTTGTATCTACTCTTTTCACTGACTTCACAATTATTACATCTTTCGAAGTTAGTCTTTGATGTTTCAGTTAGTGCTTTCCCAACACATCTCCAATCCCTTGATATACTCGACTAATTAAACAGTGATGTGGATTTTGTGTGAAGCACTTTTTAATTAGCCACAGTGATTCCCAAATTACTCAGTCTTGACRCGGGACCCTTAATATTCAAACTGGCAATTTAGTGCATATAAACTCTTTATTTAAATAGTGACATCTGAGATTAAGCTCAACAAAGGTTTCTATGGAAACTAGCAGCAATATCAAAACTTTCCAAAACATCAGAAGTGTAAAAATGAATGACAGAAAAAATAGCTATCATATTCTGAAAGGTTAATTTCACTCCTCTCACTAATTTCCCTAAATGTGCCTGCATATTCATAACAAGACTCAGGAATTCATTTGCTAAGAGAGAATCCTAAGTGGGTAAGAATAACACAGGAAGTGAAAGTTCATGTTGTTTGTCAATAATATTGAAGCCGATTTCATAGAACTACAGAGGTTAAAGGTGAAAAACAATGTAAGTTTACATGAATAAATATACACGGATAATATAGATAAAATTGCCAAAATTTTAGAATCTTTGCAGCAGAAAAAAATCAATATATTTTGTGATTTGGTTCCTAATAGAAAGTTAAATAAGACTTCTGCCTTCCTGTGAACTAAGAACACAGGGAAACATTTTCTAAACTTGACACCAGAATGAAATGCAAACATAAACATGTTTATGAAATGTTGCAATTGCTCTTTAAAATAGCTTTGAGATTCAAGCACAATGTAAGAACAATTCATAAGTTTTGCAAGTGTTAATTCCTGCTGTGAATGTTAATCAAATTCCAGCTTTAACCTTGACATTTACATGAGCCCTGACAACTGAAAACCCAAAATATTAGTGTACATGGMTACAGAGGTCAAAGTTTTTTTAATGAGGGCTCAAGTCATAAAACGTTTCCTAAAACTCCTTACATAAAGACATCCAAGCATGTTTAATATGTGTACTGATGGAAAAGTGACATAGACCACTAAAAAGTCTCAAATTTAACACTCCCCAAACCAACCTCCTGTTTTTTCCCCAGCCCGCCCTTCCCTAAGTGTTGAAGTCTCAATGATGACACCAGTTCTCCAGTTTCTCAAAACAGTCATTCTTGACAATTCTGTCAGCAAATCCCCTCAGCTCTTATTCAAAATAAACTCAGCTCTGAAAACCTGTCTCCATCTTCTTGCTACTACTGTGATGCAGTTCCCCACATCTCATGCCTCCCTACTGGCCATGGGCCCTTCCTCCTCCTGTCAATGCTTCTGTATCCCCTGGCTCCAGAAACCTGATCCCTTTCTTTTCTCCTAAACCAGACACTTCTTTTCACATGCTTTTCACATGCTGTTCCCTCTGCTTGGAAAACCCTTCCCTAATGCTCTGATGACTCATTCTCTCATCTCCTTCAGGTTTTAAACCATTTCCTAAGTGAGGCTTTCTCCGTTCATTCTTTTTAAAGTTGCAATCCCTCCACCCCCTTGCTCTCTAATCCCATGCCTTATTTTCTCYATAGGTCTTATGATTCCCTAAATGAATATCCACTTTCCTTGAGTTATTTTTGTGATTATTGTTTATTGTCTATTTTCCTGCACAGCATTGTAAGGTCCTAGAATGAAGCCTGACACCGAGTACAACTAAAATCTGTTTAATGTTGAATAAAAGAAATTGTGTGAAATCATGGGTGGGCCTAACTTTTCTTAAAAAAAAAAAAACTCCCTACACCATAAAATGATATAAATTAGCTGATCAATTAACTAACAAGAATTGACTGAGTTTCCAGAGACTAATGTTGTACAGGGTTCTATGAGGGACACAGAGCTCTCTCTGCATAGATTCTCCATTTATAAAAGAAAACATTTCTTAGGAAGCAATTAGAGAACAAGACCTCATACAGGCTGTCCAGGAGGCATGGGTTCTCATTCTGTTGTTGGTAATGACTATATGAATCTTGGGTAACTATTGCCCCAWCAATCCTCAACATCTTAAAAATTTTGCAAGGAGACTTTCCTAGATGCTTAGCTTCTGTGGTTCTATTACCTCAGAGAAATGAGAAGTGAGCGGAAAAATATAAATACGTAGTTTAGTACTTATCTTCCCTTCCTTCTGCCTCTTTAGTTGGATTATATGTCTGAACCTCCCTAGAAGCCACACTGAGGTTGGTCTAAAAATCTTTATTGAAAATAAATCCACACCAGAAAATTTCCCAGGGAACTGGACCAAACTTCATCAAGTCTGACAAACATTGATGTGTTTATATATATTGCTGTTTTAAAGAATTTTCTAACATCCAAATATAAATATTATTGAAGATAGAAATAGTTTATGTAATTAGTATTATTCTTTCTCCATTTTGTACAAACCCATTGCCTCTAGTTATTTATCTGTTTCATGAGTGGGGAGTGATCTCTGAATTTTCCCAAAGGGATCTTGATTTCCTATAAGTCCAGAGTTGCTGATTTTTCCCTTCTCTGTCTCTTTTCCTTCTCTACAGTGTTTTTTTATTGAGATGTGGTATGAACAGATGGATTCCTGACATTTCTAAATATTATCTGCTCAGCTGAGAGAGGAAATAAATGTCAGACCTCTGTTGTGTCAGACAAATGAGGTCACGGGTAGACTTCACAACCCACCATCATAAGAAGACCATCATGCTATGCTACCAATCCAGAATGGATGACTGGCTTTGAATGGCACCATGACAGACCCTAGATGTCTACGTCTATTACACAGACAATAGTGAAAAAGAAYAGGGACAACAATGTCCCCATGCAGTAATGATAATGCTTAAAAGTTAAGCGTTAAGAAGTTTGGGCTAAYGTATTTCTGTGGAAAAGGAGCATGCTGTGGAGTTCACCCGGCCCCTGAACACCTTGGGATAATGTGCCATCCTTTCTTGGCATGCATAAGCAGTGCCCAGGAAATACCTCTCCAACCAGGAACCATCCTCTGGTTGACAGATGAGAGTACAATTTCTTGGCACCTGTGTCCATAAACAGCATGTTGGTGGTATAGAATMTGATGATATGAGTATTAAGCAAGTCATAAAGGCGGAGGGGGGAAGGATCAAACCAGTGTTGCTTACTGATCTCTGTGGTAGTATCTTCTAAGTACACATGCAATAAATCTTCCCTCTGGCTCAAGTACTAGAAATCCGATTTCTTAGTTGGCTTTTCATTTATTTAGGCTAACTCTTCTTATCAGTTGCTCTCTGATACATCAAAGCAGTCTTCCCAGAATACAGGACAATGAATTCCTGGGGGTTATACATGCTTACTTTGTTCTAGCTATTTTATACACTCAGATAGCCCTTCTGTCTTTGGATCTCCAGCACTGGCACTTTGTATTCTCATTCAACAGCCTGTAATGGAATTGAAGGAGATGGCCAAAGCTCTGGAGTGTTATTTGGTGAACACGAGTTACCTGTGCAGATTCTTTTAAAGTTGGGATTTTCCAGAAGGTGTCCTGGTAGGCGGCACTGGAACCGATGTTGCCAGAATTCAGGGAACCAGGGATTCCTCKTATTAGTGTCCAGCCTCAGTTTCAGGAAATAATCATCAAATGACCTGACCTCCGGAGACTGCAGCTTTATCGTGATTCCCCCGTTGGCTTCCACCTCATAACCTTCAATGACTTCATCTCTGTCTGCCCATCCATCACTAAAAATGCAGGGATCGGGGTGGGGAGAGAGAAAGACAAACATCTCACAAATAGAGCTCAGAGTTATGTACGAATGAAGAAATCCAGAAAAGGCTAAAGTCTATTTTAGGTTAGCATTACTGCCCATTAATGATTCCCTCTTTGGTAAGAACTTGTAAAAATAAAATATTCTATTTATTTTTTTCTGCACAGTACTGAAGTCATGATGAAGATGATGGTAGAAATAATTACAACAGCTAAAGTTCCTTGAGCATTCACTAGTCATCAAATTTTGGGCTCTTCACTTTATTGAGATGGAAAATATTCAGCAACTAGCTGAGGTCTTCCTGGATCCAGGTAATCTGGCTTCCATGTCCTGTACTCCTTACCACTAAATCACAGAGCCTATCAGTCACTGCCCAGATCAGAGAAAAATATAACTGAGGTACTTGGGACCTCACAGTAAGGGCTCAGCAAGCTTGCAACATTGTGGTCAAGACCATTATGTGAACTGTACTAGAAAACTGATTTATCTCTGAAACACACCAATCATGGTTTTGATTCCTGGGACGTTTTTTTTCAATCTTGTCTGCCAGAGAAGTGACCAGATTTTTTTTTTCCTAATGCTATCTCAAAATAATAGCTTTAATGAAAAAACAATCTCACCCTCAAGTGTAAAAAGAATCCAACTTCTCACCAAATGGGGGGCTCACTGACATTTGATTAAGTGGGTTAGAATTTTTWAAACATGATTACCTTCTAAAATATTCACATCTACCATGGGTTATGTAGCCCCAGTTTAATTCAGGTATTTATGTGAGCCAGCCATAAGAGGTCATCAAGGAAAAATTGTACTCTACAGAATTGAACAGGCCAATGTGGCTTTATTCAAGATTGTTACAATATGTAATAGGTAGTGGAAAATAACCCATCGTCTCTGTCAGAGTGTCTTATTTGCTTCTCATAGAGCAGGGAACTGGGCCAAATATATTTGACTGACCATAGCTCACCCCTTGTTACATGAGCTCAGTTGGGATAACTGTGTTTTCTCCCTTGCTGAGCTAATTGATGCACTTCCTCCACAAACTACACCTGAGTCATATTTCCAACAGGTCCAGGGTTATAGGAGATGTGTGTTGGTGGTGATGGATTCCTTCAGAAAGTGATGTCTGCTCTGAGATGTGAAGGGGTCAGCATAGCTCAGGTAAAGAGAAGAAGAASGACTGGCATCAAGTTTCCTGGTAGATGAACACAGAAAAAAGATCACAGGATATTTAAGGGGTTTGGAAGTAGTCAGCAGAGCTGGATCATAGAGAAGTGCTGAACGAGATGGGGGTGGGCACATAAATCCCAACCTAGACACGATTAGCCTGAGGACCTTGGGAAGTTCTTGAAGTTTGTAAAGCCTGTTCTTCAACAAGAGTTCTTAGCTCTCGCCCTTCATGGTAAGTGACCTGAATATAGTTTAAGTGGGTCCTTTGCTCATGATCACTGAAAATGATGACCAGTCAAACTGATCGGAAAGATTGACTCCTTCACCTATTTGCTCAAATCTACTGAGTGGCCCAACCTTGATTGATTATTTACTTTTACACTTATTGATATTTACTAACTACTTCTCCAGTGATATGGAGACTTGAGCCATAGTTCATGTCATGTTCAAAAGAAGGGTAAAAATAAAACCAGTTAGCCTTTTAAGAAATTCTGCCTCTGAGTAAAATTTGAAATCAAAATGACTTGTAACATGAAGAAAATAATTATTTTTTGACATAAAGGTTAGGCTTGAAGTGTTTCTCTCCAAGGTTTAATATTATAAGAGATTGGTTTAGAGTCTGTACAAGAAACTCGAGATCTCACGATTTTGAAAAGTATATAAAATGAACGTTCTATGATGTGCCTGCACTTTTTTGAGTCTTGCTTACTTCTATAAAGTCAAATGTCATGTCAATRCTAGAAGCAGAGAAAAGTGTGACCTCCTACCTTTGAGCCCACCAACACAGAAGGGCACATCCTAGGGTGAAAGCTTTGTGTTGCAGACCAATTGAAGCCATATGGCTTAGTGGGTAGGAGCCTCAAACCCCCTTCATCGTTGATCAAAGCCCGTCACCCTCACTGAAGATGACTCCCTTTCGGGAAGTTACAAGTGGTGCTAAATTTCAGAGATCATAAAAATGAAGGAGAACCAGGGCATGATAGACAAATTATTCAAGCAGGAATACCTGGTGAATATCTTTTTTAAAGAGTAAGTTTGCTGAAGTTTTGTATGTGGTCTTAAATATCCCACAGGTAAGATGTAAGGAATGTGTACTGAAACAGCTGCTGAAAAACATCTATAAAGCAATCTTCCATTTTCATGCTTTTAAATTGTTTTTATCCATGTCTCTCTTGTCAAATGCACTTAAGGGAAATTAAAAGGATTTTTGCCGTTCAGTTGTCTTGGGTTTGGGGTGAGGATATTATTTTGGTGAATTATCTATAAAAGGCACTTTAAAACACAGAGCCATCAGCTCCCCTGCCTCCTGGTCTGGGATCTTCCTTAGATGGTGGTGGTGGTGGCATGGTCTGTGTTCAGCCTTAGAGGACTCATGGGTCACCCCCTTGGAGGGTTAGGAGTGAAAGCTGCTGTGCTGGACTCTGAGGCACATTCACAGCCTCTGGCAGCTTCTGCCACTCRATCCATTTCCCAATTAGGAGTTCCTTTCCCTAGCTGGCACCTAGAAATAAAGCTGCATATTGTGGAGGAACAGGGTGGCTCTGTAACAGAAAGCTACAGTGTTTCTCACTGGTACACAAGAATCCTTATTTCCTATCCCTGTGACAACATTTTAATACAATTCTTCAAAAGGTTGTTCTTTTCTTCCCAGCAGATCTTTGTTCTTTTTCCTATACCATTTCTCATTCCAAACTTGGATATGACTTCCTCTACAAATAAATTCTGATGCCAATAACAGGAAAATAGTATTTTTACTTCTACCAATCATAATTTGACAGGATGCATGCTATTCTTACAGAATATCAGTTAAAATAATTTAATTAGCAAATGGACAGTAAAAAAAAAGAAATACAAGCATGTTGATTTTTTAAATGTGCTAAAACATTTTAGAAACCCCATTTCTATTTGATTGAAATAATTATGATCTAGATACTAAAATAATTTTTATTTAAAATGTCATGAGGTCCAGGAATTATGTATAACAATTATTTTAAATTTTTAAAATTATTTTAATTTGATTTCTCAATTATTTAAAACTACTGCAGAGATTAACATATAATTGGGAAAAGAAGAAAAACATGAAGCAATATCTTAGAGAACACATGCAAACTAGCACAATGTTCTATAATTTATAATTTATAGTGTGAACCATATTCATAAAGGTTAAGAAGATGTAGCAGCATCATGTAATTTAAATCAAGTGATACCATTTGTGAGAAACTTTATGTAGGTGTCCAGCATTTTCRATAATAATTTGAACAGGTTTTATTCCTTTGACATTTATCAGAACAATTTATTCACTCATTGAGAAATACATGAGATGAGCCCTCCAATTTTTGAGGTTACTGCCTGGAGATTTCTAAACCATGATGCAAGAAGGGAGGAAGGAACCCAGGAACGGCCCAGTGGATTTGCTAAGTTGACCTGCAAATGTGGCAAAGCCAAGGTGGCCAGAGGTCACAGGGAAAAATACTGGCAAATAAAAAAATAAATAAATAAAAAAGAAAAAAAGAAAAATACTGGCAAGTACAGTGCTACAGAGAGAGAGACAGAATAGTCTGGAATATATCTCCCTCACCTACTGCTTAGTTTAATATTAGCAAGCTGATGCACATGATGAAATTACCTAAGGCTGAGGAAACAAGCCACCAAAATAATTAGAGGAACAGTGCCTGGAGGTGTTGCAGTACTGGAGGTAGTAAATGTTCCCAGTGCCCCAGCAGAAAACTTCCTACCTCACAGGGAATTAAAGTATTAAGGAGGGTTTTGCCACAGTCAGAGAAAAACTTAGCCCTAGATTAAAGGCTACCCTGATACTCCCTAATAAAGCATTGAGAGAGATACAAAAGGATCAAAATATCTTACCAATTTCCAGAAATAGCTCAAGAATATTTTCAGACACAAAATATCCAACAACCAAAAAGGTAAAATTAACAATGGCTGCCACCCAGTGAAAAATTACCCAGCACATGAATCCATGGGTGGAATGAGAAGGAAGGAGATATGTAAGTGACAATTTTAACAAACTCTCACACAGTAATGTGAATGGGGTAGAGGATTTTTAGAGTCATGTGATATGAACACAGAAGAGTATATTTTAGATTGAGTGGTCAGAGGGGCAACTTTGAAGAGATAGCACTTAAGCTGAGATCTGAGTTTCATGAAGCCTGGCCATGCGAAGAGAGAAGGAGGACTGTAGGTAGCTAATAATAACATCTTAAGAGAGGAACAAGCATCTGTGGCTGAACATTACCGTTGTCACAGAAATCTAGGCTCAAATTGTTTGTATTCGCCACAACAGATGGTATTTGAATAGATACTTGTATTATTTAGATGTGGTTTGGCTTCAAGATTCATATGTTGGGAGCTAGGTCCCCAGGGTGGCTGTTTGGAAGTGATTTTGTGGAAGTGAAGGAGATTTTGGCACCTGGTGTCTCATACATGCCCTCCTACAATGATATGACACACCCTCAAAACCATGATGTGAGATAGCCTCAAAAGGGTTTACACCAGAGCTGAGCCAATGTCAGCACAATGCACTTGAACTTCAAAAAATTGTGCGCTAAATAAAYCTCTTTTGTTTATAAAGTTAGCCTGTCTCAATTATTTTGCAATAGCAATTAAAAAATGAACAATTATAGATACTTTCCTGCTTTTTGTCTATCTACTGTATATCCAATATTTTCTAAGATATCTTAAATTTTTGAAGTATTTTTACAGTTTTTAAAAAGTCTTTGTTAGTAAATAAAGATGACATTTTCAAAAGAAGGTAATCTCATTTTGATAACMCAGATTCATGTGCATCTC